TTACTGGTTACTGTATGGCAGAGAGTGTTTACTGGTTACTGTATGGCAGAGAGTGTTTACTGGTTACTGTATGGCACCGGGTCTCACCTCTTAATCACTGCTTGATGACTTCACCTTGGAAACTGAGATTAGAGGATTAAAGCTGACTACCTCACTGTCTTTCTCTTTCTCCCAGGACTGTCGGGCTCTAGCATGGATAAAACTTTGCACCTTCTCCAGAAACCTGCAGACCGCGTCCAGACCGGGTTCCCCGTGGATGTGAGCCTCAACATGGACGACGGGGAGGACTTCGCGGAGCGCTCCATCGTGGGGCTTCCAGACAAGATCCCCGTGGTGAAACCTTATTTCAAGAAGAAGCAGAGGAAGCTTGACGCAAAATGCCTCTATCTGGATCCGATCCTGGCCTCTTTGGTGAAGTCGGACCTGGTGTCCAGGGATGGAGTGTTTGTTTCGCGGAACCACCAGCCCGGCCGGACGCCGGGCACTCTGTGCGCCGCGGCCGTGGTGAAGCAGAGCTGCGTGGGGCAGGTGTGCCTCAAAGACCGGGGGGCTGCGGGGGAGGCCTCGGCTGCGGCCGGGGTTCAGGCTCTGATTAGCCGGGACAGCGATGCGGAAATAGCCGATACTACTGCGGAGCTGGAGGAGACGGAGCGGCGAGGGGAGCGACCCAAGATCAGCGTCTCCAGTCCGGACTGCTTTCAGGTGAAAGGCGACCTCAGGGCGGCGGGGAGTGGAGACACAATCACCCCCCCTGACAGGGATCTACCTCCCATAGCTACACCCCTGCAGGCTCCCCAAGAGGGGGCCATTAAAAGCAAAGACCTCCTAACCTCTGGGGCTAAAGGTGTCCCGGCAAAGGACTACTCAGCCACACAGGACCCCCTCCTGCTGCAGCCAGACAAAGAGGTCCTGTTTGAGAATAAAAGTGAAGAAGCCTCCCTGGACCTGGTGTTCGAGCTGCTCACACAGCTCCAGTACCACACGCACCAGTCAGACTCCATAGACATTTGTGTGGACTTCCTGCAGGGGCGGTGTGTTTATGGCAACGACTGCGCCCACCACCACACCGTCTTGCCCTACCACTGGCAGATCCGCAGGAGCAGCTCTCAGACGTGGCAGAGCATAGCAGACGACTCCCAGGAGCAGCTGGAGAGGCTCTTCTGCAATCCTGACAATGAACACGTCAGTCTCAAATATCAGTAAGTACCCGCAATGCAACCTAAACCTGCCCAACCTGCAGGCAATGGTGCCTGCAGGTTAGCTTGTCAGTCTGTTAGCAAAATATCTTAAGTGCCACTGGTGAATTTGCAAAGGAACTCTGAGAAAAATGTAATTGGATGTGCTGGTGAAGATTCTCAGTCATCCAGAACTTGGTAAATTCAAAACAAGTCCAAGACAAAAACAACTGGACTTGTAACAGAACACGTTTCGTTTCTCATCCGAGAAGCTTTCTCACTTCAAAGAACAGAGAGTGAGGGGTTCGAGTTATAAAGCTGAGATGAGCTGGATGCACATGCAGATTGCCCTTTCACTCTTCACAATAGGAGGATTGATACAAGAGGATGCACACCTACTGTTACTTAACAACTGCAGTCATCCCAGTTAAAAATGGTCACCACAGCTCATCAACCTTTAGCCTGCACACAAATATCTTTAACTTGGTCAGCTTTTAAAATGCCCAGCTCAAATTTGGGATGGTAGTAGCTCATCGCTAACACGTAGTATGAGCTCTACACATTGCACATCTTTGTTTAAAACTAGGGGTGCAACGATTGCAGTTTGCTGGCCGATCACAGATTTCTGAAAAGTCTGACGATTCTGATTTTGTTTTATAATCAACACTGTTGGGTGTTATAAGGTCACAATGCACCTTCAATTTTCCAATATTATTTTATTGAGAAACATACCTTGAACAATATTCTAGAAACAATACAAACTTGTTTTAACTGGCCATGAGGTAGTGCTCTGAAATATAAATGCAGTTCAGACAATTGTTGTTAAAACTAAAAATAAAAAAAAAAATTGGTAAAATCGGTTTCTCATGTAAGTATCGGCCGATTTCCCAAAATTAAGGAAGTCGGGGCCGATTTAACACGTACCATGGATCCTAACAAATCATGCTCGATCTGATTTGAACATTATATTCCGGGTTCGGCTGAAACAGCCATAACGGAGTTATTTCTGTTTTTGCAGTCATCGTAGTTTAAAACAGGCACGAACGGCCTCGCATTCCTTCAGAGCATTTTAAACGAGTTTAATCTGGATTTTATTTCACTGAACTATTTTTTAAAAACACCAACTTGACGTCACAGCCGAACGAGTCCGGCACAAACAACAATTAATTTGCAGTAAACGCAGCGCGGCGAGCCGACGGGCTGCATGCGAGCTGACGGGCTGCATGCGAGCCGACGGGCTGCATGCGAGCCGACGGGCTGCATGCGAACCATCGACTGCTTCTGGTTTTGTGTGTTGGAAACAGTAAACCTCAGCCTGAGTTTCCTCTTTGGTTTCACCACCACTGATGAACTGAGAGCATCACCTCCGCAGCTGTTCGCTGCACACGCAACAAACCTGAGTTCCTCTCGGGGGGGGGGGGGGGGGGGGTAAAGTTTGCGCCGGTCTGTTTGGCCTCCTCGTTAATGTTCACCCTTCTCCTAGCTGACGTCTGCGATCCGTTTCCTGCTTCCAAACCGAGCCCTCTGATTAGCTGAGGGGCCTCCCATCAGAAAGGAGACTTTACAGCCCTCATGACAGAAAGCCGTGAACTTCCCTGACCCCCCTCCCCCCACTCGGATGCACTGTGCTGTCAGTGACACAGACGCACTTGGCAGCTTCTCTCCTCGTGCAGTGTACGTTTACACACACAGTTTGGCGTGCGAACGCTCGCATGAAAAGGCTGCGTAGGGAAGCTAAGTGGCTTGCAGTGCTCACACGCACTTTTAGGAGCAAGAGATAAACCTCCCTTTTATTCTCTCACACCCAGTAGACACACACACACACACACTCTAATGCAGGCGCTTGGCAAACCCCAGCTGGGCGACATAATGTATGTGTTTCCTGTGAAACTGCCGCATGCACTCGCACACAATGGGGACGCTCACCCAAACTTTTATGACCTTATTCTTAACACGCCTAGATTCATTATTAATGAATTCTCTGCGTCGTCCTGTTCATACCACTCACTCATACGACCTTTAACCAGATTCGACCTCCGTGATCCACGACAATATCTAAAATCAGTGTAACGCGTTGTGACGGTGTATTCTCCGTCAGATGGGACGTCTTTTAAGCAGCTGTCTCTTTAAAGTCCCCACACGTTGTCCTGTGCACGCAGCAGACCCGCGCGTGCTCGTGAGCTGAAACCCAAATGCAAAGCGCTCGTTGCTTCACAGACAGGATATGCACCTGGTGGAGCCAACCCAGATTTTCTGGAGGCTTTCTGAGCGTGTGACACTTTGACACAATCTGACAGGACCATGTGTCTCGCTCGGCTGAAACTAAGACGTGTCCACAAAGTTTGTCACCGTCCAACAAACTGGGTCCGTTTATAGATTCAAACAAAGATCCAGCGCTCGTTGAAGAACTGTATAGCACACGCCAGATCTTCAGATTAAATTACCTTATGTTAAAAAAAATGACAGTCGTTAATGTTTTCGCCAAATCTCATAAATAAGAAGATATCGGTGATATTGCGAGATGTGACTCTCAGCTACTACCACATCAGATTTTAGCTCCATATTTGTAAAATTAACTGAATTATGGCTATTTTTGTTGGCTCATATGAATTGACTGCGGTGGGCAGGGCTTAATTTGAGCCGGATCCTGCCGGAACTGGATCCGGGAACTCTTATTTTGACAGGGTGCGTTCCGTTAACTGTTTTCATGAATCCGGTAATGCTCAGGCTTACTAATAATAAAGTTAAGAACAAATGTAACGGCCTTGAATGAATAAAACTTATTGGATATGTAAACTGAAAATAATTACATAAACACTCGTTTTAAACACAACAGCCACTTACGAGCATATGAGCTGTCCCTTCAAGTAGCATTTCTGCTTGTACCCTTAAAAAAATCTCTGCTCCTAAAAGAGAGGGGGGGGGAGTGCTGAGCTAACCAGGCAGTCGTACGCGTGCAGGAGCTCACAGGCAGCTGTGGGACAGACGGAGGAGGCGCCTGGAGGTTTCACATGTGGAGTCGGACAACAACGAGCAGGGACGGTGCTCTTTGCGTTCCAGCATCGATCGGTTTAAAAATTAAGCCCTGGTGGTGGCCATCTTGAATTGGTTTACATCAGAAGAACTACAACCAGTGGTAACTTCCGGAAAGTTTTCTTAAAATCAAGTGGTTCACGAGAAATGTTGCTAACAGATGAACAAGGTCGACCCTAACAGTCATTGCAAAGAGGTTAAAGGAGTTGTGCAGTGAGTTTCACTTGCACAATGTGTTTGGAATGATCCTTAGCTACAACCATGCCAGGTCTTAAATCAGTATCTTCAAAATGGACAGAATCATAGCCATGTTTGTGTTTTCACAGGTCACTTGACCTTGGTAGCCTCCTTGAATCTGATTGGCTCTGAAAGTTCGCCACTTGTGGATATTCAGCTCCTGATTATTTCCTGAACGTTTCATTAGAATCCATCCAGTGGTTCTTTAGACGTTCTGCTAACAGACAAGGTTTCCCAATAATGATTCAGAGGAGACATGTTGTTGTTTACTTTGTTCATTTGAATTATATAAATCTATAGAGCTCGTGATTCATTTGCCTTTTTCCTGGTACCTAATGGCATCCAACTATGAAAATCTGATACAGTGCTTTCTGTTTCCAAGCCTCAAACAGGTTGGACTGTTTGTGAATGGTAGCGTGACGACTTACATGTATCATCAGCTGACGCATTTTTCCTCCTGAGTCACATGACACGTTTGACAGAAAACCCTGTTTTTGTAGAATTTGAGGTTTAGCTCGTTTAGATTTCTCCTTCCTGTTCCTCTCAAACCCCAGCTGGTTGAAGCAGACGGCCGCTCGTCCTGAGCCTGGTTCTGCTGGAGGTTTCTTCCTGTTCGAAGGGAGTTTTTCCTTTCCACTGTCGCCTTTGTGCTCGCTCAGGATGGGAGACTGTGACGAATTGAAGATTCAACACAATCTGCTGCTTCCTCAGATGGAGAACTTTGCTAGTTGGCCTTTACACGTGTGTGAATGTTTTTGTTCGGCGCCATGAGACGACCTCTGTTGTGACTCGGCGCTATATAAATAAATTGAATTAAATAGATTTCTCACAAGAAGATTTCTTGGGTTCAAAAAGGTATTTATAGTGTATGTAATTATGCATGTGCTGAGAATAAATGAATACATTTGATCTTCATTTCAGGCTGTCAGTGCAGAACAGTTTGAGAGTTTTCACAGAAAAAGACTTTCTTTGTTTTGCCGTTGTGTGTGTGTGTGTGAACTCCTGATACTGTTCCTTGGAAACACAGCCCAGCTCATCTTTTATGCACGCAGGACCACAAACGCAGCAAGACGGCAGGGCCTTGCTTACTGAAAGCCAGATGATAACATCGTTAGTGATATGTCGGTGTGGCAACAGAGGCCATTTCTTTGTTTTTTTAACCAAGAAGCAGCAGGAATGGACAGAATGGAGTCACTTCTGCGCCAGCATGTGGTTTCACGTTGCCCCGAGCTGATCCCATGTGTGTATGATCCACAGTGCAGGTTAATCCCATCCATATGATAAGCCGGAGTGGAGGTTTGATTAATCCTTGTTGGTCATGAACTCAGCAGGAAGGAGCGACGTCTCAGTCGTCTCGTCTAAAACTCTTGCTGTAATAATCCTCTGCTCTGCGCTTGCTCATTAGCAGAGCTAAGCTGCACTAAATGTGCGAGGAAGAAAGGAAAATATGAAGTATGGTTTATTTTAATCTTGTACTTTTTGCATATTTGAGTCATTTGTTTGCCTTATGTTCACAAGAAAGCTCACAAGTTCTTTGCCACATCTGTCAACATCAGCCCCGTTTCCTGTAATACAGGTACAAAGGCTGACGTTGGGACTTGAAAGAACGTGTGGCGGATTTGTATGTAGCCACAATGAAGCACACACTCGTGTGTGTGTGTGTGTGTGTGCGTGCGTGCGTGTGTGTGTGTGTGTGTGTGTGTGTGTGTGTGTGTGAGAGAGAGAGAGAGAGAGCGAGCGAGAGAGCAGTGGAG